TTATTTAAACTAATTATTCATTAATAAAAAATTGAACGGATTCTGCATTTATATATAAAAATGCAGCATAATTTACTGTAATATAATGCATTGAACAATCTCATTTGCTCCTTAAAAACATTGATTAATTTTAAATCGCTACCAATTACCCACAAAATTAAATATCATCACAAAGGCAATAAGAATTTATTAGAGTAGAAAAATACAATTGATCTTTGTTATTTTGTGTGTGTGTGTGCAAAACATTGCAAAAAAGTGCGAGTGTAGTTACTTTAAACTTTGAAGCAGAGGTAGCCTTTACATATGCATGACGCTCTTAGCTCCTTTTCTTGCTTCCTTTTTCATGTCATATATTTAATTTTATGGACTTTTCCCATAACTGATTTTAGTGGTGAATCTACCCTTGAAAAAGATTAAACATTAGATGAAGATGAAGGTACATCTCAAACGTGGGCAGCAGAGGGACAATGTAAGCAAATTGTTGGATTTGTAGTGCATCGCATGTGGAGGGTGTGAGGGAACAGCTCCTTGTAACATTTAGCAATATGAACACTCTCAAGATGCGTACGTCCAACTCTACATTTCCAAAGCAGCCTTATATTTGTTCTCATCATCACAGCATTCAGCGTACAATTAACTTTATTATCTACACATAAATCTTTCTCAAAGATTGGGTCAATGTTTTCTTAAACTAGACCCTGCAAAATTGAACCCTTCACCTATTAAATATTCATCTGCAAAAGTTTGTTCTGTGCCTACCATTCTAAAGTATATTCCATTGCGCCTCTAGAATTCGGTGAATTAACTCAGCTAGTCATATACAATAGATCCAAGTTTTTACTTTTATATATTTTACTGTATATATTTTTTAGAGACTAAAATATAAGTTTTTTAAATATAGAGATCATATTTTGTAAACCATATTAATTATAGAAATGAAATTTATATTTTACCTTTATTTAATAATTATAACTGCAAGTTATGTTTTGAAACATACTTTTATTTTAAAGAATTTAATTTATTATTATGTAAAAGTGTGTCCCAATAATTGGAAGCAATCCCATATTCTTTGAAGACAGTTGGGTCCATCACACTGAAAAGTTCAGTACAGTAGGTGGGTGTGTGCTGCAACACCACGCACTCTCATTACAGCTCACTTTCAGGAAAACAACGACCATTGTCACCCAATTATTTGCTTCACCGCAAATCAAAAGGGCTGTGGGGCCCTCTGGAACCCCTTCAACGGCATCGAAGCCATAAACAAGGTCCCCACCATGTCCCTTTTTCTACACACCAATTGCAGCTAGAAGCCACCTTATGCATGATTGTGATACATACATTTCATCACATTCAATTTGTGTTTTTTATATTCAATATAATATTGCCACGTGTCCTTTTTAATGTTCCTTTCCTCTCTCTATATATACACATTGCACCACATTATCAATTAGTCATGTTATCTATGTACCTTGTTAAGTAAGTTCTTAACTTTGCATAGCAAGGAAAATTCAAGCTGTGCAAGCCAATATGAGAGCACCAACCATCCTACGGAGCCTCCCCATGCGGCGGCTTCAACCAAGGGTGGCGGTGGCAGTGTCCCCTTTGCCGGAAAAGACCCGATTTGACAGGGAACTCACGGCGGAGCTAGACACCCTTCGGTCACAAGGCACTAGTGGTGAAATTGGGTTGGCTCAGTTGTTTGATTCTGCCATCACCACACAGAAAATTTCCTTGGATTCTCTTCTGTGCATTTCTTACAATGATGATGCTGAGCGTGGGGCTGTTGATAAGTACTTAGAAGACAACGTTGAGATTCTTGATGCATGCAATTACTTTGTGGACAAAATGGAGAACATCAATGAGTATGTGGACACATTGAGAGTGGTTGTGCATTTGGTGGAAAAGGGTAGTGTTGCCAAGCCTATTAATGATTTGGCAGCAACTCGTGCATTGGAACTTTTGGAGTCATGTCAAAGCATAGAAAAGAGATGGAAAACAAATAAAAACCGTGCCTCTTGCTTGAAAAAAATGTTGCAGCAAAGGCTATGTCATGAAACTGAACTCGGTGAGGTTATGTGTGGGTCTAAGGCAATGGCCTTGATATGTTGCAGGTTTCTTGAGCTTGGTCTATCGTTTGATTCAAAACGTGGATTGCCCTTAATGAAGTTGTCTCATCCTACGAGTTCTTCTTGGGTGAGATTGTTGCAGGAGTTGGCAAAGCAAGCGGAAGGAAGTGTTGAGAAGAAGAAGATGCAGAGAAGGAGGTCTTGTTCATCTTTGTTGATAGAAGAGTTGAAGCAGACAGTCAGTGCTGCTAGAGAATTGAAGGAGCATATGAAGGGTAAAAGGGAAAAAGAGTTGAAATATGCTGTTGAGAGACTAAAGATAAGCTGCAAGGAATTGGAGCATGGGCTTGAGATTGTTGAGGAAAGAGTGAAGAATTTGTATAAAAGTTTGATTGATGTTAGGATGACTTTGTTGGGAATTCTTTCCCACCCCTCCTACAGTGTTTAGATCTGATTAGAATAGCTAGGAAACTCACTTCTTGAATGATGCCACTTTGCTGATAGTTACTGTTGTATAGATTTTATTTGATATATATTCACAATATAATTTATTGACCCCCATAATTTGTTGTTTTTAGCTTTTTCTTTTCTATAGTTTCTCTCTCTCACTCTCTTTTTGCTTTTTTGAGGCAATCTCCTCATTGTTAATTACTTACTATATTTTTGCCAAGTTTAGAAGGGTTAGTGCCACCTAAATTTTACGTCATTAAAAACCGGTAGTCTTGATAACTCTAAACCCATTCTATAACCAATATTAGTGTAATTAAGTGAATGACCGACCATATATATATATATATAACCCATGTTATGATTGACATTTGAAAGAATGAATGTAAGTACTATTAAATAGCAGAAAGCCATATATCCTCAGATTGTAAGGATTCGGCTCCTGGTGGAAACTCTTCAATCCAAACAAAATCAAAATAAGAAAAAACACCAAGTAATATAATATTATATCAAATAATATATATTTAGTTGAGGGATACTATTATCTATGTAAGTATAAATAATTTTTTACTTTCTTTTCTACAAAAACAAGTGATAGGAAAATTTTGTTTATCCTTCTCATTATTGTCTTTACATTTCTCTCATATCAAATAATCTAAAAATTTATTTATTTTCTTATCATTCTTTCTCTCTTCTTACTTTCTTTTCTATTTTTGTCATAAACCAAACAGATTTGTGCTTTGGACTTTCCAAACTATACAGTATATACTTAATTGAAGAGAACACATATAGGAAGATGATGTTAAGAAAAAGGAAAAACAATTCATATATAGAAAGCACAAGAAAACAAAAAAGAAGGAAAAGAGCAGTTGCATTTTGTATGGAAGTGACAAAACCATTACCTTTGACTTATAAGCCTCGGTTGATTGGTTAATTCATTTTGGTAAAGAGGTAGTAAGCAATATTCTGCATGAAAATGAAACACCAATATGTTCGTAGACTTAATTGGTTAAGTGGACTTACATATGATTTCTGAAAAGTTCAATTTGTCTAAAGAGAGCTACTAAAATGTATATCAAACTAAAAAAATATTGAAATTGAAGCAAAGCCTTTGTCTGTTGCTTGGATAGAGAAATATTTATTCTCTCCATAAAAGAAACAATATGAATGAGACAGCATGCAAACTTTAATGGTTCTTTACAGAAAAGTTGTCACTTCTGAAGCATATATCCCATTCTCACAAAGTGCATTTATGGGTACAGATTCCACAAAACTTTTCAGTGTAAATTCTCAAAAGTTTGAAATTTTTGTTTACAAATATGGGCCATGCAGTCTCGAATCTTCGCGTTATTAGCATGACGCTCTAATCAACTGAGCTAATAGGCCAATTGAAAATTTGTATTCACATCTGAATATAGTTTCTACTCGAGCACCTCATAGTTCTTGACTCTCAAGTAAAAAGAATTTCATTGAAATTTGAAGAAAGCTATGTGAGGAAGATCCTCATGCAACTGAAGTATTGTATCAAAGTGGGCATTGAGTTCCAACACGACCTCCACGTTGCTTAGGCTGTGTTGTGGATTTTCAGCTTAACGATTTGACAGTTCTGTTGAGTGCATTTTTGTGTTCAGTATTGTAACGTGATATTCATTTAATATTGATTATAATTTTTAAAAACATGTAAATATTTCTTATAAAAGGAAAAGTTCGAGAGGCTTGTTAAAAAGAATTTAAAATAATAGAAAATCACCCACTTTTATGTAAAATATATTATGAAAATTGCTTACTTAATGAAATTAATCGCACTATGTTATCATTTCATTTTTAAATCTTATCCTGTGTGTGATAATTAACAAATTGTCCAGTGCTTTTAGTATTTTGTTTTGAAGTTATCATATGTCTATCGATTTTGTTTGTTATTTTGAAATTATCACTCACTCTTCATTATTATTATTACTTCAAATGATTTAAATTTAACACACTCTTAAATATATAAGGCTGAACAATAATACAGCACATTATTTCATCTTAATGTTTATAAAAATGCCTATTCAATCATTAAATCCTTATTCTGAAGAATATTTATTCCTTATTAAACTGTCAAACCTGATAAAATTTTAAAATGAGTATCTTAGCATATATTGTAAACAAACAAATTTGTATAAATTATCCTAATAAGAAAAAAAAAACCGTGTAATTGATAAACGATTAATTCTTATATAAAATAGAGTCTTTATATACAACCAATCAAAATATCATATATTAAAATAACTTTTTGACTTATTTTTATATTATCTTAAAATTTTAATTATTTATATTTATAAATACTTTTTTCTTACAAAAATTCATCGCAATAAACAAAAGTTTTATAATAATAATTAAATGAGAGGGAAAAAAAAGATAAATTTGGTATAACTAGGCTTAATAAAAAAAAAAGGAAAAATAAAAACAAAAAGTCGGGCATCAACATCTATCATAGTGCAACGATGCGTTTAAGCCCCTGCTTCCGTTCCCGTCTTCTTCCTCCATCGTCTCTAACTCAACGTTAGGGTTTTCAGAATTGCAGCGTTCCTTCGATTCTTTACTCACCCGCGTTCATGCGTCGAACGAACTTCGACTAATGCATTTCCAGTAAACTAATCTCGAAGAAGGTAGCGATTCCCCCAACGTTTGGTTACCCTGACTCGCGGAATCGACAGCTTCGTTCGACGCGGTACGATGTTTCGTCCCTTTGTCACAATCAAATTTCATGCAAAATCTAACGTTAAAAACGCTCTCTTTTCATTCTGGGTCTGTTTATATCCGCGTGCTTCGTGAGTTTTAGTTTGCGGATTATCTGTTTCCTTGGATTTTGAGTTTTCAGTGCTTCATTGTTGGTGAAATGCACTGTGCAGTGTGCATTGAGAATTTGAGACAGTTGAAATGATTGAATGATGTTATGTTACTTACAGTGGCAATGGCTTACGTGGATGAGGATGTTTCTTCTGGCTCTGGTGAAGATGTGAATATGTTGGACGGACATAAGCGTCACCCTGTTGTTGTGCCGTCTGGTTCTGGTGGCCGGAAGCGAAGCCGGAAGGCCAACGGGGACGCCATTGTGGATGCCATGCTGGAGATAGCAGCTGCTTCAAAGATGAGGGCCAATGCAATTTTGAAGAATGAGGACAGGTTCTCAATAAGCAAATGCATTAAGGTGTTAGATGAGTTGCAAGGTGTTGATGAACAGGTCTACTTTCTTGCTTTGGATTTGTTTGAGAATAATTTAAGTGCCCGCGAAATTTTCATCTCTCTCAAGGGTGAAAAGAGATTGCCATGGTTGCAGTGCAAGTTTAGTGTTTCTTCTAGTTGAAATTGTTTGTGAAAATGCTGTACAGTCAAGTAGGTTGAAAAATAAATGTATAGATATGAAATTTTTGAAAGTTAATTCCCCCTCACATAACTTCAAAATTATTGTTGGCATTGCTGTTTTGTGCATGATTGGAAATTTGAAATGATTTATAAAGCTATGAGGCAGATATATCAGAATGATACACTGTTTTTTGCAACATTCGTGCTCTTTTTTATGTTTATCTTCATAGATAGTTACATACACCAATCTGGAAGAATTGCATTATATGGAACTCAGATCTGCTGCTGGCTACTAAAACTTATCCTTAATTTATTTCATTTGGATTTAATTTATTTTATTGGAAAGAACATTACCTTGTTAACTAGGACAATGAAATATTTGTTTACCACTTTACCCTCTTTTAAAGGGGTTAGCTACCAGGCTTGCAGCAATATGAATAGAGGTGTTAAGAAGTTTATTCATAAATGCAAAGGAGCTATTCAATCACATGCTCTATTATCCGAGAAGTGCAGGTGAGAGTTCAATGTATCTTTCAAAGATTTAGCGGCAAATAGACTTAGCTACATGTATTTTTGCAAAATTTTATCAGGGGCAGTCAATGAACTGTCAGAAATTGATGAAGTTCTGATGTTCGGTTCCCTCTTTCAATACAATACCAAATTGTATTCTCGTTGAGGGATTGGATTGCTACGGCTATGTGGTGTAACTTCTTAAATCAATAGAATAAGTGGTGAGAAATAGCATTCATGACTGATAACGGTGACTTGATTCGGTCTGTTAAAAAAGACCATCTGACTTAATCATCTGCCAGGGACAGATTACCTCTAAAACCTTGGTATGTGATGTTTGGGCCAACAACAATTTGAGTGGCAAGCATGAAGTTTTTTTAGTATAATTTGGAACGATGTTAGGTTAAATTTGTATTGGAATAGATGATAATTATTTCATATTGTCGTGGTAGTCTTTGGATTGTTGTATCATTATCAATAATTTACAATGGTGTGATGCATGACAACGGCAACTGGTTAATATCTCGGGCCCTGGTGGAGCTGTAGTTGGGTTTCACTCAAGATTTTCGTTGCTCACATTTGAGCCAGATATCTGGCTTTTGTGTGTAAATAGACATACCATGAAAACAAAAAATTAAGGGGCTCAGCTAGTAACTAGAGCGTTAAAGCTGTGATACGCTGCATTAAACTATACAACGTAATAATTGCGGCCAAAATGGCAGAAAACAGATCAGAAGAATGAAAGTAGAATATCGTTTAAAGTTCAAGAACAAATTACACTACCATTTCTAAGAAACACATTATTTTATGCACCCCTTTTATTTGGAAAAATACATTCTCTTCCTTTAGAAAATAATACATGTGAACTCGTTAACTAACTTTTATGTGAACAATTTTTTTGAAGTCAATTTTTCTCGTCTTATAATCCAGTCGTGTCTTAATATCGACTTAGAAACTTCGAATATGAAAATTAAAAGGTGGAGATTTAAAATGATAATACAAAATCTAGAATTAGTTGTAAGTAACCTCAAACGTTACAAAGAGAGCAAAATTACTCTAAAAAGCTCGTAGTAGTAGTTATTCACTACTATTGGCATACTCATTGTCGTGAAAATGAACTAAGGTGTGACATACATTAAATTCTTAGAAAAGTAGGTGTAATGTTAAACTAAGGGAAAGCCAGTAAGTTAAGGTTCTCACAAAAAAGTTGTGTAGTTTGCTCAAACTTTAAAGAATGCGAAGGCTGAATGAATATCCTTGTATACCAACCAAAGCACAACTATAATTTTCTTCTGCAATGATGGTTATTTTTAATTGAAGAACATCGTGTCTGATTCCCAAGAAAAATGTTCTCAAGGGCCAAATTGTACACAACTATGGCCTTCACCTTGGGTCCTACCACAGCTTTGGTTTTCAATTTAGCATTTTGCCCTTCAATGGGCTACGATACTTTGCTCCCTTCAATGTATCCGATTCACGTAGCATTATTTCAACCCTTGAAATTTAGGACACAGCAAGAGCAACAATCTCAGCTGGCAGGCAAGAGTTGAGAGAAAAATCAACCCAATATAAATAACTTTTTATTGAACAACAATAGCCATGCCCCATAAACTACAACCGCTCGAGTTACGAGACAATATCTTTATAAATAAGTATATCAATAAACGCACTATCTCATCCCACCATCACGCCTAGCAAAACATTAAAGGGGTTAAAAACTAATTCATTGATAAGAAATGCACCCGTGCCAGGGTATACTCCTTTCCAGCAATCCAAACACCAGTTTGTGACCATTGTACGTCTTCCCAATCCAAATTTTCCTCGAGTACCTGGACAGAAAGTGCACATTTTCAATTATGATAAAACTGAAAATTCAGAAGTTTAAATATGCATTCTGCACATAATTTGAATAACGTTTTTATATTAGTAACAAATTGGGTGACTCAGCATGCAACTTAACAATACCTCAACATGTTCAAGAGGCAAGGGGATGCCGATTGTACGCATTACTTTCTGTGGCAGAGGCTTCTTACATCGAGACCAACGGAAAGCATCAATCATGACATTGTCACAATCATTTTTTTCACCATTTGCGGAATGTGAGTGGTGATTTTGAGACTTTTCTGTGCCAGGGTCATGCAAGTGAGTTGCTGGCGAAGCCTTGACCATTTTCTCTCCAGTAAAACAAAGCTCATATCTACAAAGAAATACCTCATAATTAAAAGAAAACCAGTAGGAAGTTCCTGCTCGACTACAACAAGACCTCAGACCTTGAACGAGAACAGACTGATACTTCTCAAGTACATCATCATGGATTCTTTAAATTTCACTAATTAAAAAGACAACAATTGATGCAGTGAATTTTTAAGGGAAACTAAATACGAAGCCTATGACAAATGGAATACAAATCACTTAGCAAAAGAATTGCAACATCATAAATACCTGGATAAATGTGTCTCCAAATACAAAACTTCTCCCTTTTTCAAACGAGCAGATGTGTAGAGTGGCTTCTTTAAACCCTTGTCAGCAACAATGCTTATACTATATTTGATCCTGACAATAAAAAATATTATAATTGTGAATACAGATGGTAGGTGTTTAACTAAAATCAGGGTAAGCTGATAGTGTTGCATCTGGTATCTAATTTATGATAAGAAAAATTGCAACACAATCCACATTGCATTCCCAAAAGCTCAGATATTTTCAAATCTTGCCAAAATAACACAAATTGGTTTCTATTATTTTTGCACCGACAAAAACTAGAATATTAGTTTTGTTGCTTTTTGTGATTAAAATATTAGATAATTCACTTTGCCAACAGAAACTTGCATACCAAGGCTCATTGCAAAGATTGTATTGTATTGTGACTTCACGAACAAATCTTTGCTGCCGCAATGCATTCTGAAAAATAAGAGCCAACATGGAAAATTGTAATAGCTGCCTTTCTAGCTATAGCAACACAAATCCCAGACTTCAACACGTGTGAAACATAAAATTCTTCGCAAATACAATTGTTTTTTTTCTTTTACTTTTATGAATATTACTTTAATTTTTACAGAGATTAAAAACATGGCAACCGATAGAAAGCTAACTCCTGGAAGGTGCAAAGAAAACAGATCCAGTACAAAAATAAATAAATTTGTGTCAGCCCCTGCTTCTCAGTAGCAAAAACAATATATCAATCTTAGCAAGCAGAGTAAGGCACGCTTTCTAAAGCCAGCAAACAGAATTTAATTGAACATCCCAAATACAATGGTATTAAAAGCACTAAACCTCAACTTTAAAAAGAAAAAGAAATCAATACAATAATATGTGCTTCAATTATTGAGAAGCACAACCAGAGGTATCAGCAAGATTAATGTATGAAACAGCATAAAAGAATGTTAAAGAGAATACCAAAATAAAATGTTATACTCAAATATTCAAATTAACCAACATAAAATAGGTATGGATCATATTCTTATTATATAATTATTGATTAAATTTTGCAGCCAAAGTTTTGCTTATTATAAGATGCTGGACAAACCGAAGCTGCAGCCCTGGTAGTCATTGTCCGCTCAACAGCCACTGGAGCAAGAGTAGGCTCAATAGTTGATGTATGTGTAAGGCAAGGTTCAAGATCAATAGTTCCTCCTCCTTTCTGAAGATTAAGGAAATGAGCAGTTAGATATTAAGTTTTTAATATTAGATAGGTACTAGGTTCAACCAATAATATATTCAAGTGTATGTCAATGTAAATGTGACAACATCTAAAGCATATGAAGCTGCAATGAAGAGATCAGATAACTTCAACAAGTGAAAATTGCAAAGGACAACAGAAGATTTTGCAGGGCTTCTGATAATACCTTCACAATGCAACACCGCTCAACTCGATAACTACAACCAATTGCTGCACCCCAAGCACGGGAACGAACATTGTTTCTCAGTGTAGAAATATAACCTGATATAACATATCATTATTATGTTTAGATAATCCAAATAAAGCTTCAAAAGAAACACAGTAACAGTAAGATAGTAACCACAAAAGCAGAAGAGAAACCAACAGAACTGACAATTGGCTAATTTTCCTGCTATAGATAAATATATAAAATTCCAAGAAAATAATTAAGCACATAATTAAATAAGTTTCGAGAGGGTGCATGATGCAGTAGGCAGGACTGCGATAGAAGAAGTACTGCTATCTTCTTAGGTAACGGTACATGTAGTAGATCTCAGTTCATAAGCTCAATTCCTACCCCAGTAACATTCCAGAGACATATTCTAGATTTAAATTGGAGACTAAACAGGTCTTGAGAGTGCATCTAAGCATATTTGAGGGGATATAAGTGTGCTTAGGAAAGAGGATGGATCCTGGGTCATTGGTTTCTCCAAAACCTGTTTCTTCAACCCCAAATACTACTCCAAAACTAGCACCTGTAATCTTAAAACAGTTTCAGTTCTTTTTTCTTAATTCTTTTTACTTTATCCCTTTACTCAATATTTACATCACAATTAGTTAATGCCTTAATGGTCATTTCAGCTTGATTATTATTTGAAAAGAACAACTCAATCATAAACCTTTTTAAATATCCTAAAGGACAAACAAAGTTCAACTGGGAGATTTTAAATGCTCATCATCTATGCAAAACCTTGTCAATAACAGGCCTAGATCTAATGGCCTTTTGTAAACTTTTTGTTTTGACAGAAAACCATGGTTTTGATCCATTTAGCAGACCCTACCCACCTAGTGGGAAAAATGCTTTGTAGTTGTATCATATAGAAACCCAAGACTATGACAACATATCTATACATATTTTATCAGTTCTTACTTCATGGCCACTTAGAGACAATTAGATGATATCAATCTGATTTAAACAAGCAAGGCAGGCTGTATGGACATACAATCTTGTGGAGGTAGCACCCGAATGGTCGCACGCAATTCTTGTATGGCTGCAGGAGGTGGAGATGCTGTTGGGCGACAGTAACCTGTATGCATGAGAACTGTGCAACAAAGTTGCAATACAAATACTATTGTCAAACATGTGACCTGTCATGTGTAAGAAAAGGACTGCATCCAGTTCGTAAAAACACATACCAGCAACAAGATCTGAGTCATATGTGTACACATCAGTCCCCCAAAGCTGGCCACCTCTGACCTGAATATAATAGTGTGACTCTCAAGACAAGGTATAACATCAAAAGGAACATCATATTAAACAGTATCCTGCGTTTAGATTTTTAATTCTGAAGTTGTATTATACAGAGAAAAAGGAAAAAAGCAAATAACTTTCATCTCGTCTAAACATTAACATCAAACAAAACACCCCCACTCCCCAAAAAACAGATAGTAAAGAAAATGGTATGACAAATAGGCGGATAAAAGCTCCTGCTACCTACATCTTTTAGTTTAAAGCTCTAGACAAGACTTTTCGTCCACTTATCAAATACAAATTAGTCATGTATACTATTTATTTTATTGAATTGGTAAAAATTGAATACCACCTCTATTTCAAAATATGTCATCTAAGGTTTTTGAACAAGGATTGGAAAAATATCAACTAACCCAATACTACATTTGACTAAATTACCCTCTCACTCCATTGATGCTTTCTCTCATTCCACACAGTGGAGGTATCAAGAGAAAAGGATAGAAGGGCAACACAGTTGACAAGGCTTCCCACATAATGGTGTCTAGGGAGAGTAGATGTATGCAGCCTCATCCCTACAGGCAAAGAGGTTGTTTGTTTCAGGATTTGATCCTGTGAACTCAAGGTTACAGAGTAGCAACCTTACCTTTGTTCTAAGGCTCACCCTCATATTATCAAGAAACAAGGATAAAGTAGAAGAAAAGATAATCAATGCCTTCTTGGGTTTCAAAAGTATCAAATAAACATAAACATTTTTTCTCTGAAACAAAGTGTGTTAAGATATCCAATATCAATTAAAAATATGATCAAAATACTCCATATAAGACATGGTTCTTCCTCACTGAGCAAGCTTTTCAGATTGAGTTAAACCTAACCCATTTCTAATATGGTATCTGCAAACTTCATGATTTTAATGTCTAATCCTGAGTATGAGGAAGTATGTTAAAATGTCCTACATTGACTAGAAATATGGCTCGAATAATCATTATAAAACTTGGACAATCTTCTCCTTGAGTTAGCTTTTAGGAGTTGAATCAGGCCTAGCCCATTTCTAATAAAGAGGAACATTGTAACAATATTATTACATAATAAGTTTTGTTCATTCACTTTTAACAAGAACACATAATTTTCAAAATTTAATCTTCATTCAAAACTACAATGCATATATTAGTTTTCCATTACGCTACCAGAAGCCACTTAGCCTCATATTTCGATTATAGCAAAAAAAATTAAAAATGAGAGGAGCTTTCACCCTGCTCAGCCCCTTCAACAATCTCAACTAGTATTTATAGACAACTAGTCAAAAGGAATTTCAACCACATTTGACTCACTAATTATTCATAGACAGCTAGACGGACTGTAGAACTAGTATTGGTTATTTAGGCCAATCTACTCAGTTTTCATTGAATTAATAATTTCTTTCTCAGACTGACACAAGCTTAATTTTTATCTGAAGGCTATGAAATAAAGTGGTACAGTTGAAAAATCATGTATCCCAATTCTAATCACCACCAAACTACTTAATTCCAACTGTTCAATGTAAAAAACATTGTTGTAGGACAGAAGTATAGGAAGGTTTACATATTGGAAAATGGAAACAATTCAAGATCACTGAGAAGTGTAGATCTATAGTTGTTTGGTTGTAAAAATACTCTAGCAAGTAAGGGTCTTAATCTTCTAAAGACTCTGATAAGATAGGGTATTGACAACCCTTGACCAAAAAGTAGCCATGCAGTCTCACATACAGGTGGAACTATGGAAGAAGCAGAAGATTTGAATAAATCAAAAGGTACCAGATAATTGCCAGAATATGGATATTGAAGTCTCAGAGCATCCTGGATGAATAGACAAACAACATTTTAAAAATATTCAACTCTAAAGGTTAATAGAGGCTAGATCAGATCATGAAAGAAATAGAATCAACGGTATTTTATTTGAAGAATTTGACAACAAAATTTGTGACAAAGCACAACTAATAATATGTTCCAACTTTAGGGTACTTAGAGGTCTCAAAATCCTAATTTTACAACTAAATTTAAACCAATGTTTTAAAAGACCAAAATAATGGCCCAAATAATTATGGAGATTTGGAAGGGGGAGTATGTATCACAGGAATCATGAACTCTAAAAAGAACAGAAAATTACAAAATCTATAACTCAAGAATTTACAAACAGTAAAGCATGCATCATTTCATTGATAGGGGGAGAAGCCTCTCACCATGCTTTTCAAATAAATTCAATTACTTTAAAGATATACAATATAATAATAATGCCTAATACCAAAAATGAACAGCAATTGATTTCTAGTCAACAGCTTGACCATATAAATGGCAAAGCACTCATCTGAATTGTTTCTTTAAGAAATAGAAAATACAGACAGTAGAAAATATTATTTGGATAACTATTTCTGTCCTTCATAATACACTATCCTTTCAGAATGCTCACAATCCAAACATAAAGTTCAAAAGTTTATTAATGTTCAATAATAGAGAACAGAACATATCCTAATTGAAATGAAAACATATCAAATGGGCATCCACTAGTTTCCAGCATGTGCATGAGAATTACAGAAAATGGCAAACTGCAGTCCAAGTAACAGTTACAGGAACCATGTAGCAGTCTAGAAAGTGTTGAAAGAAAAAATGTTAAAATCAGTATATTACTACTTCAGAAAATTTGTGTTAATGGGAAGGAAGAATCAACAAGAACTTAAAAATTTTATATATGGACTAAACACTACATTTACTGCATCAACAACAAGTAAAAGATAAAGCAAAAGGAAAGAGAAAGAAAATAGAGGGAATAAATAAGAAAAATAATTTATAAGAATAATAAGGTCAAAATCAGTAAAAGAACACAATTATCAGCCATTATGGATGGATCACAATCCTCAAACCTTTTTGACTTTCTTTTGACAATTAGCAAAAAATACACTTTCATTCATGGTGCAAAGAGCAAGTACAAGTATTCTACACTACATCAGAAAGCGCAAAAAATAAATCAGGAGGGAAAAAACAACAAAAAACACTACCCTTATACTAATAAGCAGGAGGAAGAATAGACAATGTAATAAAAAAGAAAGCCACCAACATAGTCCCCCCTTCCCTCCCACCCCAAAAACCGAAAAAAATAAAGACACCAATTCATGAATTTTATAAGAACAAAAAATTAAAAAAATCTTACTTGGCGGTTTGTAGCTGTGACATGCTCAGACGGTATCCGAATTTCCAGAGTGGGGCCATTATTAGAGCTTTCACCATTTTTATCCACTTGAGATTGAGATGATTCATGTTCCTTCCACAACTTTATCAGTTCTTGCATGCTTTCACCAACTTTATAAACAACAGAAGAAACTTCTACTTTCCCTGAAATATCAGAACTCATATATAGTTGACATGCAAATGTAAGGATAACAGAAATACCAAGCTCTAATCTTCTCTATTCCATCAACAAGAGTACCATCAGTTGAATAGGAAATGATAACAATGCCACATCACAAAACATATTAGTAAGGAAGTGTACATGAGATGCAAAATATGAAAGAGAATAATAACATAAAATATAAAGCAAAGGGTTAATAATAGTAATCTCTGCTGAAACCTGCATTGCTTCACGAAGGTACAAATTCAGCGGTCTAACAATAAATCGAGACAGTGAAACAAAATGACAGCATACCTTGAGACCTGCAAAATATACACACAGATCTAATTACTTAACCAAAACATAGAATATAGGACCTTAAATAAAAAACCAAGACAGAAACTTCTATCAAATAAAACTTTGAAGCTTTAACTTTTATAACTGAAACAAAGGGTATAAATTAAAATAAAAATGTACAGACACTTCACAAGATACTTGAATGAAAATATATTTGCTGGATCATCAAATTTGCAAACAATGAAAAAACCAAGAAAGGCACAGGAAGAACTTACCCTTCATTGTCTTGGGCACGGGATCTGAAACGAGGCTCTCGGTTAGGCACCTGAGGGCTACCTCTAGGTCGTTGTATCCTCTTACGGTGCTGACTGCTATAATTATAGACTTCCCTCTCCTTCTCTATCGCCCCTTCTACATCAGCACATCCATCATCTGATTCCTTGTCAAAGCACCTACTACGCTTATCAGACCTATCTCCTTCTAAATCAGTATCCCTTTCTTTTCTCCTCTCTCTAGCTTCTCTATCAACATTTTTCCAGCTATCAACATCCTTTTGTTTCTTTTGCTCTGGTAACAAAATTTCTTGTTCAGGAAGTTTAACTGATCCATCAGCAGGTTCCTTCTCATTATTTGAAACTTCTTTCTCCAATCCATTCCACAATTCCCTCTTCATCTGATCCTTTTCCCTCTCTTTTAAAGTTTCTTTCTCTTTTGGAAGATCTTTTTTCTCCCTCTCCAGCCTTTCTACATCTCTATCTTCCTTGGCAGATTCTTTGCAGTCACCACTGGTATTGCTAACTTGTGTATTGCTTCTACGGTCACTTCTTTCTTTTTCCCTTTCTCCCCAGTCCCGATGCTTCACGTCCTTCCTCTTTCTATCTTTCTCTTTAGATCTATCATCACCTTTAGGATCAACTTTGTTCTCCCCAACAGCTTCATGAGCTTCAACATAATCCCTTTCTTCTGCTGTTGAACTCTCCTTCCCAACCTCAACTGAACCTTGCGCATTGCCACGTAACATATGCCATGTGTCCAAACTCCCACTAGGGGCATCAGAGTATCTTTTTCCCCTATGGTACTCTTTTGAATCTTTCCAATTCAAATGGCTACCAACCACACTGAAACCATCCTTTTCTGTCTTGGTGTCACCTTTTGAATCATTATGACTATCTCGATCATGTCTAACATCCTTGTTTTCATCTCCTCTACCTTCCACGCGCACATCCTTTTCACTCTTGGCACTCTGAGGATCCCTTCTTGCTTCACCATACACCTCCTTCTTCTCTGTCTTTGTATCACGATTCTCAAACCTGAGATCTCTACTGTCCTTGGAATCCCTTGATTCTATCCTATTCTCAGTACCAATAGGATGATCTGCATGAGAATCACTCAAAGATGACGGCATGCGATACACTGAATGAAGAGGAGATCTTTTATCTGCATCACGAAATTCAGTTCGGGGTGCTTTTGCCACCCGGGAATCCTGACTTATATCATAAGGCATATGATACTCATTTGAAACTGACGATGAAACCAACTTGGAATATGTGCCCGAATCTTCATGCGGGTGCTTGGAAGATGAATGAACGGACTCTTCATGAGATCTCTTAGGTGCACCACTCATAATGAAAACCCAACACAGTCATAAACTCAAAAGGAAACAGTCTGACAGCCAAAAGAATCCCTATGCAGTCTGTTTGTTATATGAAAGTCAAAATTAACTGCAAACCAACAATAAGAGAGTTTAGAAAACCATACAAAAGGCCACAACAATTTTCACAAGCATTCAAAATCACTGTACAACAGTTGCGTCAGCACACATTGAAACCTATAACGACAATATTCAAAGTAGAAACGAAGAGAAAGACAGTAATTGATGAAGCAACATCCTCAATACAGTTAACACAAAATCAAATTAACAACGTATAAAAGCAAACACAAAATTTCTCATACACAGCACTCACATACATACATACAGTACAAGTTCGGTTACAACGCTACGATAGGCGAATGAGTTTAGCAAAAGGAAGAGTGCATAAAGCAATTACCGATGAGTAAAAACTAGAAATATAGCAATAACAGATCTCGAAAGTAAGAAACACCCAACACAAAGAAAGAAAACAGCCTTTCTCCCTAACGAGAAAAATATAAAATCGAATTGAAAGTTGCATCCTAACTAAAGAAATGAAGATGGAAAGATGAAACAGCCCTACTTCTACTGGTAACATTACTTGGAAGAAACATGCGAAAATAGTGATCAACGGAACAATTGCGAAATTTGAAAAACAAAACCCTAGAAATTGTGGTTTCTATCATTTCACCTTGGCTATTATCGACCCTCTTTCTTTCCACTACGTTATTTGAGGAGGCTGTGTGTGTTCCTCCCTCGCGCTCGTTTTACTTATATGTCCACCCACTGCTTCCAATACAAAACGCAAGTCTTTGTGTTCCGCTGCAGCACCGCACCACGATACTTAAATATAAACACCAGAATCTCAATTCGCTCCTTTCAATTTTCTTTAATTTTATTTCTAAAATAAATAAATATGCAATATTTTGTTCCATTTATTAAAAGTTATTAATTAACTTTCACGTTTCAGTGACGCAACACATTTAGTATAAGATAATATATTAATATATCTCTGATTATACTAATTAAAAATATTATAATATAAAATTATATATAAAAAGTATTCCTTGTATAACACTCTATTAAAAAAATATATATGAAAATTAAGTATTTCTTATTCATGTTATCTTATAATTCTTTGACGGTGAAAAAAGGTTAAGTAAAAAAAAACTGAAAATACATTAAAAATCAAAACTCACGTGATGTTTTTATATTATTGTAATAATTTTAATTAAAAATAGTTTAAAATATATTTACATATTATTTTTTATTTATATTATAAATATTTTTTTATTAGAAGTCATTTTATTTAAGTCAAGTAAAATTATTACATTTAAAATTATATGTTAAAATAAAATAATTATTTACTAATTGATTCACGTAAGTGATATATGTCATATTATATTTGATTCTTTACATTACGATTTTTGTAATATTTAATATTAATATTTTCTTATAAAAACTAAATAAAAAAATTTATATTTTTATGGACCTTAGATTTTATTTACAATAAAAAATTTATTAATAAAACTGTTATATAATATTCATTGCACAAATTTAATTATAAAAATTATTAAAATAAATTTAAAAAATTGCAAGGATTATAAGTTATTTATATTATTGTTTCCAAATATCTTATGACGAATCTATCCCTTGTTAAATTATGAGTGAGTGCTAACTATATTTTGCAATTCGTGGTCAGCGACCGATTTCCTTCTTTGTCATTACGGATCCGGGCAATTCAAAATGAACTGATAAATATCACTTTCGCGTTCTAATATAAATTATCAAGACCCCTTTTTTAGAAGGTTTCAATATGAAACGTGCAAATAAAAATAATAATTATCAAGAAAATGGGGGTTTTAAATAACAAATATATATAAATTTTGAGTTTAAATAAAGAGACGAATGATGAGTGTTAAGAAAATTATTATATTTTATTTTTGATGAAGTGGAACGTCAACTTTTGAAAAATAGTCTTGATTCTAAATTTCATTTGTTTATTTCGAATTGTAGGATCATCGTGATCTGTTGCTAGAAACATGTTCGATATGAATTTGATATATTAGGAATTTTTTGGCTGAAAGCAAATGGAATGCCACATCCCGGTTTAAGTAACAAAATCAAATCTATTTATTTACTTTTTACTTACATGAGGGAAAAAAAAAAGGACTATAATCTGAAATGCGACACCACTGCTACGTCAGCTAACGGCCATTGCTGAATCTCTCCACAGGTGAACTAAGGAAAGATTCTCATGCTGGGTATACTTAAATAACAAAAGCATATTTTGAGTAAAAAATTATTAATTTGAGTAATTTATATATTTAAGTCGATTGACATAGTGCGTTCAACCAATTTTAACAGGCCTTAAAAAAAATTAACCTCTCTCTATATAAAAGAAGTAATTTCAGATCTTAACTATTTTAAGATATGGTAGTTACATATAATTGACTTTTGTTACCTATAATTGACTTAGATTGTGAAAAGAAAAAAATAAGACAAAACAGAAAAATCATTAATGCCCAGTTTGATTTGAGCAACAAAATGAAGAAAAAAATGGAAAATGAGTGCGTTTTTAATTTGTCTGGATAAAAGAAATATGAAAGAAAAACAAAGGAAAGAAGAATCCATAATTTTTAAAATATATTTATATTTATTTTAAATAAATCACTCACTTATTATTTATTAACATAAAATTAATTGTGACAATTATTTCACTTGAAAAAATTTTCTGTATCCTCTTAACTTTTTATTGTCAATAGTCATATTTTGGTTTTAAAATTAAAAAAAAAGGCTGGGAAGGGTGGCTTCATGGGCCCATTACATTGTGAACTTATTAAACAGAAAAGCCCAAACCCCCAAAGGCTTCAGCTCACTGCAGCACTGGTAACTTGCAACTCTAAAACCCTTGAGACAATCCACACATCACCTTTCAACACCCTCTCCTTTCTTTCCCTCCACCCATGGCCACCAGGTACGCGTGTTTTCCAATCTCTCTCTTTGATCATTATTCCTCATTTCCCTTAAAAAATGAATGAAACTAACCGAAGGGCATCCAAAAATCGTGGCTTTCACTCTCTCACCCATTAAAGTCATTAACTTTTATTGCTGAACAATGCCAAGGCAAAACATCACTAGCTCTGTATTAGATTTGGATCCTCTTGCGTCATTATGCTACATAATATGTTACATTATAGAAAAAAAGATATAATTTTTTATCAAATTTAATTACTGGATGACACTAATTATGATATGTGTAGTTTGACAAAAAAATTGTGTTTCTCTCAACAATATGATCATATCATATTACTAACACGAGAGTATCCAAATGCCTCTATATTTACTCATTCGCTAATTGCTACACATACTGCAAATTGAGATTTTGACTTTGCTGCAAAACACAGCACATGTTTCTGTTTCTGAACAACTTGCTTACTCTTTCTCTGCACAGGCGTTTGAGGGCATTCAAGCGGTGGATGAAGTCTAAGGGATTCGAATGGAGTGATGCACTTGAGTTTGTGGACACCCTAGAAGAGGGAATAGCTGTGAGAGCTTTGTGCGAATTGAAGGAAGGAAATGTTGTGGCTAAGATGCCTAAAGAAGCTTGCCTTACCATCCAGACTAGTGGGGCACGTGAGATCATTGAAGATACTGGTTTGGATGGTCATTTGGGCCTAGCAGTTGCCATCATGTATGAGAGAAGCTTGGGTGAGGACTCACCTTGGGCTGGCTATCTTCAGCTATTGCCTTACCAAGAATGCTTGCCTATTGTTTGGACCCTCAATGAAGTAAATGAACTTTTGTGTGGTACAGAACTTCACCAGGTATACGTTATATTGACCTAAACTAATCATGAAGGGTGGATTGAAATTGACCACTTACAGTATGACCATTTGTGCTTGTGTTTGTTGATTGATGATTCTTCTTTGCTTCTATATACTTGTGTGAAGATGGCAGGAGGATGTTATTGTTTCTTAAATGAGTTTTTGCTTATTAGATTGTCTTTCAAGTGTTGCTAACTGGCTGCTTAATGTCTGGCTTGTTTTGCTTTTTGACTTGTGCATACTAGAATCCCATTGGAATCTTCATATTCTGAATGATATTTGACTAATTTTCTTTATGTGTGTGTGTGTGTGTATTAATTTTCATAATTATATCCATTGGAAGGGAGTTTGAAACATAAAGAAGAGAAAAGGATATATAATTAAGTAATTAACTTGTTTACCTGTCATGAAAATTTTCTAATCTCTTATGATTGTAGGCAGACAGTGCAAGAAGACAAAGCTCTTATATATGAGGACTGGAAAGAGAATATTCTTCCCCTATTGGATTTAGCACCACGAAAGCTTGATGCAAAATTCTTTGGTACTGAACAATACTTTGCAGCGAAAAGTCTTATATCTTCACGGTCTTTTGAGATTGATGATTATCATGGTCATGGCATGGTTCCCCTGGCAGATTTGTAAGTAGAGCCTCTGGTGGTGAACTTGGTTTTCAGAGTACCCCTGTATTTGCTATTTATTATTTTTTTAAACTCAAATCTGTAAGTAAGTGGTTTTAAGGAAGTGTGTAATTCTTCAATCTTGGTTGAATGATAATTTTGAGTTATAGCATTGAAACTTTTTCAAGTTTAGTGGATCCTGACAAGTTTATTCTATCTAGAAAGTAATGCTTGCTTGTGTTTGTATAGTATTAGAACTGCTATGGTTCATCAATATCTTGTGAGGTTTTTAATTTAAATAAGAGCAATAGCCAAACTTTCCAAAGAGACTGAGAGAATGCGTAATCTGCATAATGTGATTTATGTGCTAGAAAGCTCAAACATGATACAAATGCAATATGACACAGATATGGGGAATTTGATAATTTTAAAATTATAGGACACAACACAAACGTAATACAACGTATAAAATTAGCATAAAATACAAATCTAATTCAAAAGATAGAAATGATACTTGAATTTTTAAATGAATCACTGTAGACATTCAAAAATTGTTGCATTTTATCTAATTATTGTAATATTCCCATTAGTATTTCTATAAAAGTTTACAAAATAAAAGTAAAATATAATTGAAGGTATTCCAAGTGTCAACATGACACAACTACTAATTTGAAGTGTTCGTGTTTCCTTATATGTTTATGATCCAGATCTAATGGCTTTCCTTTTCTAATATTGTCTATAACGTGCTTTGTTCTAGATTCAATCATAAAACGGGTGCAGAGGATGTGCATTTCACTGCTATGCCCTCTAATTATGAATCTGATACTGATGTTGATGGTTCTAACAATGACGAGGGCATTGTTGATGAAGCAGCATTGGCTCAAAATTGCTATACGGATATGACTGCATTAGATACAGCTCATGTTGGAAACTGCATTGTTAGTGAGTCAGATAGTTCTTCAGTTACTGAGGGTGATACTTCAATGCTGGAGATGATCATGATAAAAGATGTCAGCAGTGGAGCTGAGGTAAGAATTTTCCTCAGTTATGTGGTGATTTTCTTAACTTTCGTGGACAAGTGATTAGTCTTGCGTAATCACATAAATGAACCTCAAGGTAATATATGTTTATTTATTTTTCTGATAATTTTGGAAATGTTTTTCATTTTAATTTGAAATGTTCAATGACAGCCAATGTTGCTATGGTACTCTTGATGCAATATATTAGATAGAGGGATGCCAACAACACTGTTATTTTTAATACACTCCTAGTTATTCACTAAAATTTATTGAAAACTACAAAAATCACTTTGTTTTCACTATTTCTCACTCCTAAATTAATGTTTCTCTCATACTTTTGTAGTTTTCAATAAATTTTAGCCAATAGTTAAGAGTGTGTTAGAAAGAGTATGTTGCTAACATTCTTCTATTAGATATAGTTTTCTTTGATGTAGCAAGTGACCTCTTATTCTTCCCTTGAAGATACTTTAATATTTACAAGTTCCTCTTGCCTATCAGGTATTTAATACTTACGGGTTATTGGGCAATGCTGCTTTGCTTCATAGATATGGATTTACTGAGCAAGACAATTCCTATGATATTGTGAACATTGATTTGGAACTGGTACTTCAATGGGGTTCTTCTTTGTTTTCTGACCGCCACGGTAGAGCAAGAGCCTCCCTTTGGAGAAGGTTAGGCTATTCTGCGTGTGGCAGCCAAAACAGTGAATATTTTGAGATCTCATTTGATGGAGAACCGCAGATTGAGCTCCTCATTTTATTATACATCATTTTATTACCAGATGATGCCTACCATAAGTTAGACCTTTCAGTATCAATTGCTGGAAATTGTCATGAATCAAGTGAAACCATTCTTTTGAATAATCATATCTTATCAAGGGAAACCTCTAATATGAGCAATAAATCGTTGCTGACTAAAAAAGTAAGTGATGCTCTGTTGTCACTTGCTGATATGAGGGAGAGTCTCTACGGTTTGAAATCAATTGAAGATGATATTGAGGCATTGGGAAGGTGTAGTAATGTTAGAGAAAAAAAGCAGCATCATTCTTTGATGCTGCGGATCAGTGAAAGAAAGATCCTTCAAAAGCTCAGGAATTATGCTTCACAGCCATTTAAAACCACTAACCATAGTTCTGCGAGGAAGAAGTTGAAAAGGACAACAAAGGAAAATTGTTGATCTTTTGGTGTTTGTTTTATTTTATTTTTTCATGTGAAGCCACATCTATGCTTTATTTTGATTTTGGTGGTGAATACCTAATTTTGTTCGTGGAAGAATTCACCCCTAACTTAGTCTTTGAAGAAAAGAGTCACCAAATAGTCTCTAAGTGAGATATTTTAGCCCTTTTATTCATGAATATCAGGACTAAAATGTTTTATTTTTTATATTCTCTAGGGACAAACTGATGTTATTTTTTTAAGAATCAAAGTGACCTTTGTGTTCTGTTTTTGGGGACCAATTTCCTTGACTTATGCAAAGTGGCAAAACTTTCTCTCATTTGGTTTTTGGTCAGCAATAAAATCATGTATCGTTTTCCTTAGTTTTTTTATTGTATCGTTTACGTTTTCGTAATTTTCGGCATCATCTTTATGCTCCTTGGATGCCCTTACTGATTTATGTTCCTCTTTTACTGTTATTTGGTGATTGAATTTTTAAAATGGTATTTTGGTCTTTAAAATTTACTTCACTCTCAAAACGGTCATTTATTTGAATGTTGTGTGCTACTCTTTGTTCAAACTCATTTCAGGTTAATACCTATAGGAGGGAATATAAAATGAGTTTGAATAATTTTAAATTAAATCGTAATATGATTTAAATAAAGTATTAGACTGTGAGGCGTCGTTTTAAGTAATAAAATATTCACTAACACTCTGGATTACATGAAATATGGTTGAATGAAACAGGGAAAAAAAATATAAAAAAGAAGATATATTTTTTTTACTGTTTGAATATATAAAGTTAACGTTTTTATGGTCCTGTTCAGTGAGACCTTTTTTAGACTTAAATTTGAGATTATATATCAAATTGAAATAATGTTCTACTAAGTAATTTATGTGCTCGATAAATTTAATTTAAAAACACTCGTTAGGTTAAAACATGCTTAAAATATTAGTTTTTAATCATGTTATCAAACACAAATTAACATAAATATCTGAATCAATTTTTATTTAGTTTGAATTAGTTATACCAGATACCACAGCAAATGAAGTGATAATTTTATTTAGTGAAAGCGTACATTTTTAATATAAAAAACAGAAAATTCTCCCTCTGATGACTATTCATTAATAAAGTCAATGATGGCTAAAGCTGTAGATCATTGGATTAAGAGGTCAACGAAGCCGGCCTATGCAATTAGTTATATGACGTCAGTTTGAATAAGCAAATATGCTAATCAAATTACACATTATCGCAGGAATTTCATTTGGAATGGGGTTATTACTATATTAGCAATTATTCAAAAAAGATAAAATAAAACTATTCAAAAAAATTTACGTTTTATTAATCTAGTGTGATGATGTCTTAAACTTGAGCTAAAACAAGTTTAGTCTTATGATCAACCCAACTCTCACTTCTAAATCGGATTCAAAAAAATTGGACTCATAATGATTTTGAATTACATTTCAAGAAAATATTAATAATTAATTTTTAATCATATTTTATATATTTATCATATATTATTACAAATCACTATGAAATTAATTTTTTTAAGATATTGCTAACTAATATTGTTAACATTAATTAAAAAATTAATAATTGATAAAATTTATTAAAAATCACATTTAAATGAATGAGACTATCAAGCACATAGATGTAGTAAGAATCGTTCCAACTTACCCTGTGATCATTATTTCAAGTCTTAAGTAAATGTAGCTATATCAAATACCAGAACAAAAAAAATTGCATGAGACATCATGTAAATAAGTGCATTTTAAAAATTCTCTGTATTTAATTTAAAATATTTAATGGGTATATTTAATATTTTATGTATCATATGCTGATGAAAATATAATACAGGCAACTCCAATATATTATAATTAATACTGTTTCTTTATCTTGAATTTCTGGGACTTACTTTAAATATTTTAAAATAATAATATTACTATTCATAATTGCTTAGAATTTTATGGATAGGGATTAACGTTTTTCTCATTTACATAATCTGAATCTCTAATAACTAGTGTGTAAAAGAAACTTAAGAGATTTGTATATAAAGGGATGGTGAATGTTACCTAACGCAGTCGATTCTCATCCCTTGAATGTGCTAGTCTTTATGATTATTGTACTTGGACAATGTGATTATCAAATAACGAAAAATAATAAGAAAATGTTATGGTCAAATGTCAAAAGTTTAAACGCGTAAGCGTCGATATTATGCAAAGTCCATCCTCTAACCTTTTTCTTTTCATATTCATGTATAAATGAATATCATATTTAGATTTTGTCATAGCACAGTTCATTCAATTAAAGAGAAACGGAAGATGGCATTGAAGGACACGTTTTACATATCACATGGATCGCCATCACTGGCCATTGATGATTCAATTCCAGCATGGAAGTTCTTGAAATCGTGGAAGGAAGTGTTTCCCCAGAGACCCTCTTCCATTCTTGTTATTTCCGGTCACTGGGACACCTCTGTTCCCACCATCAATGTTGTTGATCACAACGACACCATATACGACTTCTATGGCTTCCCCAAGGTCATGTACAAGGTTTGTAGTTTTCCACTTTGTCTTATGTCGTGTACCCAATTGCAAGTTACAATTATAACCTTTCAGTGCATTCACAAGCTTATCTATGGTTGATCAATTGCATCGAGTGATGTGAAATCAATAGAAAAACATGTAGATTTTGCAAGCTTGATTTTACTAAAGAAGGAGTGTTGCAGTAATTGAATTGCTATCCAGTATTTGCCTGTTCCATGGCCGTATTTTCCTAGTTTGACGGAGAATTTCATTTCTTCAAAACAAGGTTTATAAATTTCACTTGAATTAACATGTTGTGCCCTTTTTTGGCAGCTGAAGTATCCAGCACCGGGGGCTCCACACGTGGCAAAGAGGGTGAAGGAACTAGTCCAAGCATCAGGGTTGAGCAGAGTAGATGAAGATAGAAAACGGGGGCTTGACCATGGTGCTTGGGTGCCTCTGATGTTGATGTATCCAGAGGCAGATATTCCAGTGTGTCAACTCTCAGTTTCATCACACAGAGATGGTACTTATCACTATAACTTGGGAAAGGCATTGGCTCCTCTTAAGGATGAGGGTGTTCTAATAATTGGCTCTGGAAGTGCCATCCATAACTTGAGAGCAATTGGACCTCGCAATAGCCCTGCTGCTCCCTGGGCTGTAGCCTTTGATTCCTGGTTAAAAAACTCTCTCATTCAAGGAAGGTATGTGTTAGCTCCCTATGTACTTTTTTTTGGGGTTAAATTACTCTTTATTCTCTTGTAATTTCATATATTTTAAATTTGTTCCCTCATATATATTTTTTGTGTTTTGAACTTTATGTTTTGGACACTATTTTAGTTTAAATTATATCATGACATTTTTCGGTTTGACCCATTAAAGCTTGTTACCTGTCATGAGCCGGTCCAAATTGGTAGGGTAACCTGTTTTGCCAGCTATCCTTTAAGAGTAAACTGTTATTTATCTTTTTTTTCCCTCGTATTCATATTCATAAGCATAACTTCAACCATGCTTCTTGTTCATGTGGTACATCTTTTAGTGACTAATTATTACGATCATTGGCATAGTTTTGAATGAAAAGATAGCACCAACCAATATGTATGTGATGGTGATACATTTTCTAATGCTAATGTTCAATATATATATATATATGTATGACTCTTGTAGATATGAGGAGGTAAATCACTTCGATGAGAAGGCCCCATATGCAAAACAGGCTCATCCTTGGCCGGATCACTTCTTTCCATTGCATGTGGCTATGGGGGCTGCTGGTGAAAACTCGAAGGCCAAAGTTGTCCATGATAGTTGGGATGGTGGTTCTATGTCTTATGCCTCTTTTGGTTTTACTGCAGCAACTAGCTGATACATCATATAGCTTCTCTGTTCTGCTGTTTTTCATATATTCTAATAAAATTACATTGATGCTTGTATAATCTACAAGGATATGTACTGTGCCTGAGGTTTTATTAACTCCTATTTTCTTGTAATTTTTCTCTTTTGTGATTCATAGTTGTTAACTTGCTTTCAGCTGTGAATCCAAATTGACACCATTAGCCTACTATTTATGAAGTTTAGATTAATTGAGAAGGGGGAGGAAGAGGAACTATCACAGAATTTAATTATTTTTCAATTCTTGACATCTCATAATATTATCATTTAAAGAGGGTCAAGACTTTCGTGATTGTCTTTGAAATTTTGTGGTATACCTGTTATAAATAATTTTTATGGGTAGTCAATAGCTTTAGATCCGATTATCATTCCTAATGCTAAATTCAAGTTCATAATTATTAATTACCGAAGAATTAGGCAACTAGCCATATATATACTCAAAGCACTCAAGATATGTATGTCTAATTTGTAAATTCAAAAAGTTGAAGAGATTAATTCTTTCGTTTGATAGTGAATCTATAAGTTATTTATAGCCCAATTTTTAAACTGGATCAAAAGTTTATTTCGTGACCTATTAAATAGCATATATTTACACTTTTAATACTTTATGAATATTTATTATGAGAAACTGTAATTAAGAGTCATCTTTATATTTCATAATTATTATAATTCTTTTATATATAAAATAATTTTTTATCTTTAAAAATAGGTCTCTTGCTAATTAATTTTTTTAAATTATCTTAAAAGTTATTTAAGGCCTATATTTATGTTGGACTAGCCTTTAATAATTAACCTTTTCCATGATGCAAAGTAAAGAATCTATTTATTATTATTATTATTATTATTATTATTATTGTTAAAATAAGGCGATCCAACTCATTTGAGTTAACTCATAACAAGTTGAGTTTAATAATAAGTTAACTATTCAACTCACTTTTGAAACGAGGCAAAAAAATGTTAATTTGACTCAGTCCATCAATTTGGTGGGGTTAACTCACGAATTGGTTCACCAAATTTAAAAATAATAAAAAAATATAAATAAATAAAACTAAAACATAAATATTAAAATTAACATTAAAAATAAAATAATAAAATAGACTAATTTAATTTGCATGAATGATAAAATAAAAATAAAAATAAAAATAAAAATACATGGGTTGATTGATTAAGTTCATATATTTTATGCGTAAATTTTGTTATAATTCAACTCATTCAAAATTTACAAGTAATGTTAGTAACATGCTGGTATGATTAATTAAACTACAAAATTATGTAAATCTTATTTTTTTCTTACACAATTTAATTTTTTTATATTTTTAATAAATTTTTATTAATAGCTAAAAATATTTTTAAAAAAATATGTTTCTAACGATCCTCTAAAGCTCATTGCAGATTAAGTTGACTAACAAATTACAACTCCTTTGAACAATTTGAATAAATATTAACTTTAAAGTTGAAATAAAATTTCAATTTAATTGTTTTTTCAACAACTTTAATCTCTTGTTAACCTGTACATGAGCAACTACTTTTTAAACGTCTTTAAAATAATCTTTATTAAACTGAGTGAAACGACACCAAATCAAACACTATTAGTAATCTTCATTGACATCTTAATTAGTGGTGAGGCATATGCCCATATTATGAATCCTATGATAGGGTTAGTATCCTTTTGTTAAAATGGAATCATTAACAATAATAATCGAAGAAAAACTTTGTTATTGTTGGTGGCGTTCATAATTATGTACGTAATACGTCAGTTGGACCACAGAGGGTGAGACAATTAAAATGCATTTTTATCACTTGGACTTCCCAGAAGAACTCCACGTTACCCATCACTTGTACCTTAAACATACCTCTTCTAGAAGAACTTCCTATTGCAGGGCAAGTTCATTAGATAACTAATGAGTTTAATTTTGATTAATTTACAACTAAAAGTATTTTATATTTTAATTAATTTATATAATAATATATTATGAAATACAAATATCTATTCTTTCTATACTCACACGTATCAGACTTAATCAAGTTTTTTATTCCAAAAATTTCATGACTTTTTTTTTTAATTTTAAAAAGAGAAAAGTTCTTTTAAAAAATGCAAACAAACATGCTCTAACTAGCAAAGTTTCAAAATTTTGAAGAACTAAAAATTTAATTAAATAATATATCAAAATTAAATTAAGAACTAATTGCTTCATCTTTGATTTTATACCATACTGCAACATATACAGCTCCTATCCGTCAGGTGGATCCAACCCAAAAACATGCAAAAGATCTTCCTGTAGAGTTGCAATCAGATTTTCCAAAATCTCCTTTTTTTCATTTTTCATTCTTCATGCTACTTCAAATTTCTGGAGGTCAAAAATTGACAACAGATGATATAATGCCTTATAATTAAACTCTAATCTTGTATATCTCTATACATTGCATGTGTAAACGAGTTACCGATGAATTTATCATAAACATAGAATATGATTATTGGAGACTTTGAATCAAGGGGCAGCATAGAGAGGTCTTATTATCATCAGCAACCTATAATTGTCACTTATGCTTGGGGCCTAATCATTTGGGTGGCAATTATATTGTAGATCACAATTAGCAGTTTCTTGTTGGTCATAGTGATTATTGTTATACCTATTTATTAACCCTAAGTATGCAGGACTATTACTTGTTTACTTTTCAAATACTAAGTTTAGATTTATCAATGAGCGCATGGATCAGTTAAATACCAAAAGATCATTCTAATTTAATTAATAATTTTGAGTTAGATATATAATCACGTCAAAAATTTAAAATATAAATTTTGTTATTTATAATAATTTTACTTAATTTAAATAAAATTATTTTCTATAAATAATACCTTTAGACTACCAAAAATGTATGATAAGGCTAAGTTTAAATTATACACTCTTTTATATATGCTAATGAATTCACAGTGCAATTGCCAAGTTAGAGTGAATATAATTTATTGTTAATTGAGCGGTAAGCTTACGGCTTCTCTTCCTTCTTACCTTCTGTTGGGTTATTTTGTTTATAGTTGAAAAAATTAATAGATTAGTCTAACGAATTGGCCGAATATACTCGTAAATTTAAGAACCTGATCGATCAAGTTTAAATAAATTTAAGATTTTTGGTCTAATTCATTTGAGCTTATATCACAAGAAGGTTTAGGTCGAGGCAATGTTTAGGCTGCTCGTGTTATAGTGTTTGGTTGAAATAATTGAGACTACCAAAATATCTAAAGTGTTTGTGTTATAAGTAATCCGTGATATTTTAATTTTAAATACGTTTGAATTTATTTTTAATTTGTTTAATTTGATATATAGATTTAGTTTGATACAAAATATTATGAAAATTAAAATATAATTTTTACAGCTATAACATATTAAAATGAATTTTTTGAGTAAAAATGAAAATAAAAATAAAATTGGTTAAAGTGTGGGTCAATTCACGTAGTCAAGCCTTTTAAACCTAGTCCACGTAAGTCTACTACTCATATTGAGCTAAGACAGGTTAGGTAACTCAAATTGATAGCTTTACATCCGTTTAATAAACTTTTTAGAGAAATATACCAATAAAGAGAAACGTTTCTTAAATGACATAAAATTAAAAAAAAATATTGTGTTCTATTGAGGCTTGAATATATTAAAATAACTTATAAAGTAATGGTTTTTCATTTAACATTTGATGCAATAAGAGACTCACACTTTTGAATTATCTGTTTTCCTAGGACCAATCTTTATTAAAAGATCGAATAATATTATTTTAATAACTATTTCTATACTTTTTTTTATTATCCCTCTATCATATTATTATTTTATCTTTTTTCTTTATGTAAAAGCGATTATAAAAACATGTTGAAAGAATAACACTACTCTGAAAAAATTTTATAAGTAGTACAAGACTTTTCTCTTAAGATTGGCTGGACTTTGCAATTGAAAATGATGATCTCTACCTTTTATAGTAACGTTGGCATAAATGGGAAGTGGGGAAAACCAACCAAATCTAGGATAGTCCAACCCTCTTTAAAGTAATGCACTTATTGCAACTTGCAAAGCAATAGACAATCTTTTCTTCTAAGTGGACAATTCTCCACAAATATTCTCCTTCGGCTTTCTGTTTAATTTTTGTTTGGTAGTTCTTTTATTAATTTAATCCAAATATTTTTAAAAAGACAACTCTTTTTAGTAGCGTAAACTCGGTGTCTAACAGTGTATGCAAAGCAAAGCAATAGCATGCACTCTCAACTTTTTCAATGTCTCTAGCCTAATAAACATTTCTGCTTTCTTTATTTAATTTCAATTAAGGCCTCTCTTTCTTTCTCATACACTTACACACAGAGACAAAAGATATCTGAAACCATAAACTACTGTGCTACTTCTTTTAGCTAAAGGTGATCAATAAAATAGTATTTCGAATACCCTATACCTCCATTTCAACCTCAACCTCTTTAATTCTTATACACACCCCTTAATATTATTATATATAGTGTTAATATATACCGTTTGTTGCTTAACTTGCAAAATTCACAAACCTCGTATACTTGTTCCATCAACTCTAATTTCCTCTTAACCTCCCCTTCCCCTCCCTTGACAAAGTTAGCAAACATTAATATATCACATATTTTCCTTATCAGGTTCCATATACCTTCCTCATCATAGAAGGTTTTTCTTTGTCATTCATCTATACATAGTTATTAACTCATTTGTAAAAGCTTCTATATATATAGAGACATGGAGTCTAGCAATTTTCATGTTGATAGAAGGGCGGAGAAAATGATAATAATAAGATACAAGGAATGTCTGAAGAACCATGCAGCTGCAATTGGTGGCAATGCAATCGATGGGTGTGGTGAGTTCATGCCTGGTGGAGAAGAAGGCACACTGGAGGCTCTCAAGTGTTCAGCTTGCAGCTGCCACAGAAACTTTCACAGAAAAGAGATAGAGTCTGATTCTAATTCCACTCCTTTGATTCCTGATACTACTCAGATAAGGCCCATTTTGGCGCATTTATGTGCCAACAAAAGTGGCTCCGTTAGTCCTTCTGATCAGTCTGAAGAGAAGGACTATGAAGATGGGATCAATAAGGAGCTGGAAATTCCAACTGAAAAGGTGAAGAAGAGGTTCAGAACCAAGTTCACACAAGAACAGAAGGAGAAGATGTTGGGTTTTGCAGAAAGGGCAGGGTGGAGGATACAGAAGCTAGAGGAATCTGTAGTGCACAAGTTTTGCCAAGAGATTGGAATCAAGAGAAGAGTGCTCAAAGTGTGGATGCACAATAACAAGAACACTTTTGCCAAGAGAAGTCTCTCAACTAGCTAGCTTAGCATCAGGCAACATCTTTTCTATACCTTGTTATTGCAATCTTTTTTAGAAGATTTATTTTTTCCCGTGTTTTGCTAAATTATCCTACCTATTTTTGCATGTTTCGTTTGTTTTACTTTCAGAGAGCGATGAATGTAGCATTTGAATATTTTGGGTCTTCCTTTGTTTAATTTGGAGGGCATGATGTCATCTGGTTTAGAGGGTCTGATATATCCAACTATTTATTACAAAATGGCTGGTTATGTTCATACCAATTTACAGATTTAGTTGTTTAAACTCTATGTTTCTTGATTGTTATCAATTGAGAAAAAAATATTCGTCCTACAATAATGTTCAGATGCAGTATAGCTTGAAGGAGGGGGGGGGGGGGTTCTTGCAAAACATTTAATAAGCTAAATTATGTGATAAAAATTATTAAAATACAAATTTATTATAAAAATATTATAACTCTTACTGAAATAGATATAGCAGGCACTAGTGTCTACTATTTGTCAAACTATATAAAACACACTGTAACTTTTGAAAATACCTTAAAAAGCATTTCTACTAGATAATTTTTAAAGAAAAATATCAAAGTGGTTTTTATATATAAAACTACGCGTGTCTAAGGTGTTACAATACTTGAGATTTTAGCTACATTTCCTTGACTAGTAGTAGTTCAAGACGTGATAAAAAGAAGAGAATTGCTAGATCTTGCGGAGTGGAAGAACAGTATTGATAATAATACTTTGAAGTGGGGCGCATGCGCAGAAAGAAATTAACTTTCGTAATTTTGAGTCCCATAATGGAATGCAGATGTCACTGGTAAGATTAACGTTGATCTTAGCTTCGGATGCCAATTATGAAAAGAGGGATTAAAATACAATTAGGTTTTAATTATGATAAGCATAGGCACTAATTGATGTTCCCGTGACCCTTATAAGCACAACAGTTAATAATTAGGAAATTCATGTTGCAAGTTGCAACAAAATTTGACACATTTTGTAAAATTGTTGAGTTATTTAAGCATATTAATTAAAATTCAATTTGTAATCGTGTATTTTAAATTTTTTTAGGATAGAACAAATTCAATTGAATGATTTTTATACCTTGAAAAAATTAATCTCCAACAATTGGTTGAGGGATACTTTTATTTTATCAGAAAAAAAGGACTCCATCATTATATAAGGGTGGCCGGTGAATTTTCTTTGCGGCTAATATTGACGTCTTTCCTTTGTTTTCGGCATACGATGATATGATTACTGTTAAGACCAATTACCTTCTGATTATTAAAACATAGTTTAGAACAAGATTCTCATCGATCATGGCAATTATATTAAACTTCTTACCGAAGATAAAGTGAGAGAGAAAGACAATGAGAAAATATGCTAAGGAAATTGTTATTTTTTAATATGAAAACCATAGGTCATAGGGCGACAGAATGGGAAACTACGTGATCGTGGTGATGTTTAATTCATTAGTTTCTTATAACTTTGAATAGTTTTTTTATTAGTTTAATATTTAATAAACATTTTTATGCTAAAAGTAAAGTAAAATAATAATTAAATATACGTTTATTTATAAGAAGATAACTTAACATTAAAAATAATTTTTTATTTTACAAATGGTATTTTTTTTAAATTATGTTCTTAAAATTTAAACTAAAAAAATGAAAATTAGATAAATAATATATATTATTAAGTAAATATAATAAATTAAATTATGATTACGTAAAAATATGGATGAATATGCGAGTTATTAATGTCACAATTGACGGAATCATTTGCATGCTTGAAGTTGAAAATACCTAGTTTTTGTAGTTTTTGTGAGACAGGTGATGCTAAATATAAATCACTATGCACGACTCTTACATGGTCTTATCTTCTTAATCCTGTTTTGACATTTTATACTAACATCATTTGATCCTGACTTTGTGGGCTTGACGGTTTGTGCCTGGGTCTTTTGCACACTTTTTCCCCCCTACATCTCATTAAAGTTTTTTATAATTTTTCAAAAGATATCCTTCATGATGATAAAAAATTTATTTATTTATTTATTTATTTTAATTTTAGTGTGAAATTTAAAGCTTAAAAATATATTTAAAGTTAGAATTTAAAAATTAAATTTCAAAAGCTTGTCGGAAATTTAAGTTTGAAAATATAAGTTAAAATGATTAGTTTTGAAAGAGTAGAGTTCTAATTTTGGAAAATTATTTTTAAAAATGTTTAATAAATTAGAAATTGATTTCTGGAAGTATGAAAAGTTAAATTTAGAAATTAATTTCGGAAGTGTAAAATCTTAATTTGAAAACTTATTTTTGGAAAAGTTAATAATTTTAGAAATTAATTTTTAAAAATCCAAAAACTTAAATTTAGAAATTAATTTAATTTTTAAAACGTATTTATGAAAATAAATAGAATTCTAAAAATTAATTCCTAGAAGTTTGAAAACATAAATTTTGAAATTAATTTAATTTTAAAAATTTATTTTTAGAAGCGTAAAAATCTTAATTCTAGAAATTTATTTTTGAAAAAGTTAATAATTTTAAAATTCATTTATAGAAATGTGAAAGTATAATTTTAAAAATTTATTTTTAAAATATAAAACCTTAATTTTAAAACATATTTTTAATAAAGTGTTGAGGTTAATATGTCAACAAATGTATCATTTTTAAGGTTTTTTTTTTTTTTTTTTGTCTAAATGAGGTACCATGATTAAGTACTTTTTAATATAGGATTATTGAGAAACAATTTTCCTATCTAGAGTAGGAATAACTAAGTGCAGTAAAAGATATTATCAACACATTTATTATTATTTTTTTATTGTTAATATTGAAGGATACTAAGTTTTTAAATATTAAAAAAGAAGTGTTGGATAGGTAAAAATTAACACTTATTCCACTAACACATGTCTATTGTATATGTAAATAATTTTATGATACTTGTGTGTCGGCTAATGAAAATCTGGCACTTTTTCTTGTGCTCCAGGCAATAACACAAGCTTTTACCCTATAGTCTAAACCCAATACACTCTTTTCCCCTAAGGTCTTTATCCAATATAAAGTATATATATAGTATGCACTCTTCAAAAATTGGGAGAAAGTTATTTTTTAGAAGCAACTTAGAGAATTTCAGGTTAGAAGTTTTATTCTTTTGAAATTTTATAATTAAAATATAAATTTTATTAATAATATGAATTAATAATATTTTGAAAGAAAAAATATTTGTAATTTTAATAATATTATAATATAAATAAAATAAACTATAATGTATTTAAAGTTATATTTAGTAAAAATTATTTTCATTTTATGTGATTATTAATTTTTGAAATAAAAAATATTTGTTTTGTGATGAATAAAATTTATTAACTATAAGTATAATATTTAATATGTGAATATAGATTTGTTTAAAATTAATTTGTTTTTAATATTTTCTAAGTGTTTGTTTAAGTAACTAATTTTTTTTATTAATTTTATTATAATTAAACTTTTGATATGCATGATGATTGAAATTGTGGTTATTTTATATTAGAATAGAAGAGTGTATGAAGAAAATGAGGGTATAATATTTGAAAGGAACAAAAAGATGATTAAGATGGAACGTATAATTACCTTTGACATGTTGAAAAGAAAGATACATACAAAATTGAGATGGTTTAGTAGTAACATAATTTTTAGATTGATTTCACAAATTTTAGTTGATGCAAGTGATAGAAACCACATAGTTTTATATGTATGTGATGATGAAAATATTGATTGCATGATAAGTGCATGTTCATAACAACATCAAAGAAATGTAGTTGACTTATACGTGGATATTGCAATTGATCAAACTTCTCATATTGTTGTACAACTATTAGCTTTAAATTTATCATTCTCACCTATTAATGTAATATATAATACTTTATTAAATAATATTATGTTTAAAATTTATATATATATATATATACTAATTTATTAGTAAACCATGTAAATGTTAGATCAAAGAAGATGAAAGACAAAATAACTTTTTCCCGCCTTGCAGAATATCAAAATAACAAATCACCACTGTAAAATGATGTAATTTTTTGCATTGATGATCACCCAATCTAATAGTTTTTCCAACAACCAGGATGAATATGAACGTGGATGTAAGAAGTAAATCAAGTAAATGCACCGTAAGTTTTTATTGGACCAATTATTACCTTATGGCATTGTGTTTATTGGGCAAGTGTACCCGTTGAAAAGTAATAATGGGTTCTAAAATAAAATTTTCGAAATATCGTCCCATAAGAATTGATTTTTAATTTCTAAAATTTTTTTTAATATCGTTTGAGCCTAAAATATGTGAAATTTAATAAGAACCAGAATTTAATTATGAAAAAAAGCAAATAAAATAACACACGTCTTGGTTGAACTTATAAGAGGGAAACGTAGGGCGTATACGTTTTCTCATTCAATCATTTACTTTATTTTTCTATTTAACTTTAAATTTGATTTATTTGTGATTACTAATCATTCATACAAATACTATTAATACCCAATGATCATGCAATATTAATATTCTTTTCTCTAAATTAATATTCCTAATGATCATGCAAAACATCATTTAAAGAAAGCATAAAGCACCTATGAACTTGTTAATTTAATTATGATTGGAAGAAAAAGATTAGTTTGGTCTACCTATTTGATGATCGTGTGGATTGAATAAAGATTTGTCGTTAATCCTCATCAAACTATGTAGAAAATTTTGTGTAATTTAGGATGCAAGTCTAGATTATCTCACAAGACTTTGGTTAAAAATATGCATTAAACATTACATACATTCACTATGAAAGCAAGTAAAAAAGGGGGTTTGTTTGATTTTTGGATTCAATGTAAAAAGCAAGTAACGAGATTATCAAATTCAATCAATAAAATGTAGTAATCCTTAGTTCATTCACGCGATTCTATCCCTATTCTTCTCAATGTTTAATACTCTTCCTCTTCCTCTGAATTAGATTAATTCAACAAGCAAGAATCAATCCCAAAACCCCATACG